TGGGAAATATATAAAAGCAAAGACATTAACTCTAATACCATTTGCTACTGGTGTTTCACCAATGCAAAAATCACTGTGATGAGGAAATCAAGAGATCAGAAACCATGTCAAGAGACACGGCACATAGGCACCACTAGTTTCAAGTACAAATTCATTTGCAAAACATTATGGAGGAATATGATGGAAGAATTCAAATAGTGTTGCTTCACAAAGCATTAAAAAGTAATTGAGGGGAAAAAAAGAACCTACTCTTAATAAATCAGAAAAGTAACAAGCATTTATTAAGCACCTACCATATAGAAAGCTCTGTGCTAGGTTCTGGGCATATAAGGACAAAAATAAAGCAATTCCTGCCTTTAAGGACTTGTTTTTCAATCGGGGAAGCAATATATACACTTATAAGTTTATATTAGAAATATATAAAATAATCTCCAGCACATAGCACAGTGCTTGGCAGAGAGCAGGCTGTTAATAAATGTGTATTGTATTGTGTTGTGTTGTGTTGTCTCCCCCAAAGGAATGTGAGCTCCAGGAGAGCAGGCACCATCTTGCTTTTCTTATTGTAATCCCAGTGTCTATCACAGTGCTTAATAAATTCTTCTTCATTAAAAAAGAGAAATATATAAAATATGCACAAGATATTTAAATGAAAAATGTAGAAAATAAATATACAGGTAAAGTCACTAGTAACTGAGACCCAGTTAAGCTACATCATCCTGAGAATACTTATAGATATTACTGGAAGATGAGGGGAAAAAAAACCAAACAAACCAAAACAGACATTAAAAGAAACAGACTTGCTGGTATTTTTGTAATACTGTCTTCTCATCAACACTAATAAATGAACTCTACCAACTCAGTACCTAGTGACAAGCACAACGATGTTTAAGAAGATTAAGTCTATAAGTGTTGCTAGACCTGACTATATTCAAACAAAAGAAATCTGTATTGGAGATTAAACAATTTTAAAGGTACTTAGGACTGATTTTCAAGATATCTTAATGAGTAAAAATTTAAAAATAATGGAGAAGATAACAGATTAGATTTTAATAAAGCAATACAGAAATCCAAAAAGGTGGCCAAAAAGGTGCCAGCAGCTGCCAAACTGTATGCATGCTTATTCATCTGTGTAACACATTTAAGAAAATAGTCTGTGCATGCGTCAAGGGCATTTATGATGACAGGATAAGAGACTAGATATTTCTTGTACATAGTTTTCTAAAGCAGACCGTATCTTCCTAATCATATAACTGACTAAAATGTAGAAAACATGAGATCCTGCTCTACTATTTATTGATTTGAAAATCTGATTCAATCCAACAAAATGTATTTTGAATTCTCTCTTCAAAGAGTGTGTCTACTATGCATATATTAAATCATGTAAGATTCTGTAGCAGATGAGAGCATGGAAAAATTTTGTTTTGTAGTCCACTCTGAGTCAACATCAAGCAAGACATAAAACAGGGAGACGTATGCTCACTTAAGTTATTTACAGTCTTGCATGGAATCTGAATAGAAGAAGGCTTTCCTATTGATGATAAGAAAGATTTCTTATAGATGGTGAACTTCTCCAAATTTTCCAATTCACAGATGCCAAGATACTAATTACATCAAGGCCCAGAACATTTCTAAACTACTTTAAGTAAAATTCTGATCATAATCATCCCCTCAAGGACCCTCTAGGAACAAAAATAGAAAAGTAAGACAGCCCCTGCTTTTAAGGAACACACATTTTAATGGGAGACACAACACACACAGAAGATTTCAGCTGTGAGTCAGATGGAAAGGTTGCATGGTCCTTAGGGTACAGCAGCAGAGCAGATGATAATGTGTCTTCTTCAATGTCATTTCTACTGATTAAAGGATATCAGTTTCTGATGTGGGACCACTTGACGATACCAAAGACTTTGTTGACATAATGGACAAAGGAATATGTGTAGTAAATGCAAGTAGGTGGCAACATATTAATAATACTGACATGTAGAAAGAGTCATGGAAAAAGTAAGAAACATGATGCATATGAAAATGGGGTGGGTCATACATGAGATGAAGATGAGCTCCAACAGACTATCTGATGCTGTACCTTTCATGTAACAGAAAAAAGACAACACCATCTGTGGCACTGGGGGGAATCTTTTATGGAAGACTGACAGAAAGATGTGGGCAATAATCTCTTGAGATGGAAACGTATTGAGGGATTTCAATCTGCATAGAGGCTGGGAGTATTGACACTAATGAGATTATGAATCCATCCATGAAGAATTCAAGTTTCATTCAACTTTCAGTTGATGAGATTGCAGATCCAGTTGAGTGTATGAATAATAGTTCTCTTAGTCTTTTGATCCAAACAGCAGAAAAACTTTTGCCAGTATTGGAATGTCAATTTCTTTTCATTTTTTTATTTCTTTTTGTTTTGTCTATAATCTAAGGTACAATAAAAGTTACCAATGATTTTTCCAGAGAATTCACCTTTGTGGAATTGATGTTTTCTGTGTGGTAATGTATTTATTGTGGAATCAAAGAAGTCTGTAGAAGCTTTGGACAATGGAAAATCCTTTACATTTTCACAAAATGATTCCTATTTGACCTTCTTAATCAAAGGTAATGCCCAAAGAAATATAGTTTGACATTACAAAAAATGGAAGAAAAAAAGATATCTGAAGTCTGTGAGCTTATTAGGGAATGCAAAAAAAAATCAGGATTTACAGACCCAGCTTTAGCAGTTTTCTAACACATTTCATTAGGAATAAATTCCTTCACTGAATCCTATGATGCTTTATCTTTTTTTTAGGTTATACATGTATAATCATGTAAAACATTTACATATTAGTCATTTTATGGAAAAAAGTCAAATAAAACAAAGAAAGAAGAGAATAAAGCAACAAAAAAGAAAGAAAGAAAGAAAGAAAGTGAAAAATAGTATGTTTTGGTCTGTTTTCAGATGCTATCAGTTCTTTCTCTGGAATGCCTTATCATTCTTGAAGACTAAGTGAGCAGAGCCAAAATCTACCAAGTCTTGCTAAGCTAGAGGGGTCTGAGAATGAAGCTGGGGATAGACTGTATGGCGACTGGCTCATCATCAGCTTGATGATTTTTTTTTTTTGGTCATAATAAATGTGGAAGCAACACTATTGACTACCCATTCCTTCAGGATTTTCTTTTCTCTTTGGGTTCTTGCGACCCTGCTTTCCTCTTGCCTGTGTGAACACTTCTTTCCAGTCTCCTTTATGGGTTCATCTTTCATACTGTGCCCTGTTTCCGTGGGTTCACTTCAAGACTGTGTTATATCTTTTTTGTAGGGTTTCTTAAACTTTTCTTTATGTTATGGACTCCTTTGGCCATCTGGGCAAGCCTATGAACCCCCTTTCAGAATCATATTTTTAAATAACTGACGGAAACACTGAATTTTAGTTAGAAATCAATGAAGATAAAGAGGTAATTTTTTCCTCCACCCAAGTTCACGGACCCTCATAATAAGGTTGGGAAGGCAGGTACAGGCCAAGTTGTGAAAGACTTTGATGGGTAAACACAGAAGCTTATATTTTGATCTTAAAAGTATAGGAAGCCATAGGGATTCTTGAATTAATCACACCCACAATTTATGAAAATTGCTTTGACTACTCTATGGAAGAACCAAAAGGGAAGTATTACAAATAAAAGAGGAGAGAGAATACAGAAGGAAAAGTATGGTTGACAGTGGAAAGTGCTTTATGACTTATTATGGCCAACAAATTGAGACTTGAGACAGACTGTCTTTCTTTCTGTTCTTCACACATGACCCACCAGCTCCCATTTCTGCATCTTTGCACTGGCGGTTCTTCATGCCTGAAATTCATTTCCATTTCAACTCCACTGAGAATTTCTTGTTTCCTTCAAAATGCTGCTTACATGACACATTTTAAAGCCATTTCTTATCTTCTTAGCTTCTAATGCTCCCTCTCCAGATTTACTTTGTATTTTTAAAAATTTATTTTGAACTTAAATACATAAAGACAAAAAATAACATTTCCATGTATACAGTACAACATAAAACCATGAATTTACATTTCACACGGTTTACTTTTTTGAGAAAGTATATAATAAATATTGCACATTGTTTTCAAAGCTACTCTGCTTTCTATGCTTCCTTCTAAATTTTCTTTTATTCTCTGCTATGCATTTTTTTATATTTTTTCCCTCCCTTCCCACCCCACCTTAGAGATGGTGACCTCTGGATACAAATATTTATATGTATGTATACAATGTATACATACATATACATATGTAGAACCATACTATACATACTTCTATTTATCAGTTCTTTCTCTGGAGGGAGATAGCATCTTCCTTCATAGGTCCTTTGTAATTGATTTGAGTGTTTATAATACTCAAAATGAGTTGTACTTTTTGTATATACTTTGTATTCATTCAGTTATCTATCCATCCATGCATCCATCTATCTTTCTGTTTTTCTATTTATTCATTTACTTGTTGTCTCCCCCAATAAAATGTGATATCCTTGATATCACAGCAACTGTTTTATTATTGTTTTTGTATCTTCAGTGTCTGGAATAATGCCTGGCACATAGTAGGCACTTAAAAATGCTTATTTATTGATTGGTGAATATCTATTAGGCAATAGAGAATATTAGGTCTGCCCAAGTAGAGAGTATATTCATGCCAAGGGAATAACAGTTTTCTGAAGTATTATAGTATTTACACATTACTGATGAATTTTAGGACTTCACATGACCAAATTAACTTTTTATTCTCTTATAGGTTATAGGTTGACTTCACAGATTATAACCTCTATGTTTTACTTTGCATGTTTGCTTTATTTTTATTCCACTCATGTATCAATTACTAAGCCTGAACATTTTATATATATATTATATATATATATATATATATATAATACTAAACTTGCTTCTCTGAAGTTAATGGCTTTCAATGGAAGTATTCACAAGTAAGACTGCATAGCACTCATCCAATGATTAACAAATGATTATTTTGATACTTACTGTGCCCCACCAGAGAGCATCTGCATAAGTAGAAAACTGTTTATTTGCATCCTTTTCCACCAGGTAGACAAGGAAAGATGAAAAAATAAGAACCAAAAATCCTATGTACCAAGCTGTGATTAATTCCTGGATATAAAAGGAATGAAAGAATTTTAAACAGGAAAGATAAAAAAAGAAAATATACATATATATGTAGTTATATGTGAAAGGATCTATGATTATGAGGAACTCCTGGTATGGGAACTCCCTCCACCAACATAGAACATAATCAACTTGTGACTTAGTAGATAAGTGCTAGGTCTTCTCCTGAGGCACATATAAGTTGTGATTTGCCCAGAGTCACACACACAGCTAATAAATGTCAAAATAGGATTTGGACCTAGGTTTTCCAGATCCCAAGGTCAACATCCTGTCTAGTAAATCGTACTGAATCTTATATTTAGCTGTAGATATAGAATTTTTAGCTGCATAGATTACATCAACAAACGCACTTGCCTTACATGTCAAATGCATAGTGTTGGTATATGATCAAATTTTGAAAAAAACGTTACCTACCAATATGTAGCTGACTAGCATCAATCAACATCTAACATCAGGATTTGGAAATCAAACTGATATGTCTATTTGTTACATTTAAATAGGTATTGTAAAAACAATTAATTGACATTTCACATTTACATTGTGCTTTATGGATTGCAAAATGCTTTCTTTACAGCATCTTCAGGATGTCGATATATATATATATATATATATATATATATATATATATATATAAATATAATTATCCCATTTTACAGATGGGAAAACTGAGGCTCTGGGAGGGTGACTTTTCCATAGTTACTTAGAAAATGTCTGAAGGGGGATTTGACCCTAGGTCTTGTGGTTCCACATCCAACCTTTTCCCCTATGCCATGTATTCATTGAAATGTTTGAACAAAGCTTGACCCGTGATGCAGAAAACAAACTTACCTTGCTGTGAGCATAGACAACTGAACCTAATAATTTCCAAGTTCCTCCTCTTCGGTCCATACGCACCATGCGGAGGATCTGTAGGAAACGAAGACTTCTGAGTGCGGATGTTGCAAAAATATTACCCTGAGTTTTTGCAGAAACAACTGCTATTGAAGCGATGAGAACAATGGTATCTGAAAGAAATACGGGACAGTGGCCATTAGTGGCATAATTCCAGAATTTTTAGATCTCAAGTAAACATTTTTGACCAGGCCCTTTTGCTTTGGTTTAACTGCAAAATTATCAGAACTTCAGCTGATCTCTTTGTAGTATAGAGATCACTCAGGTGGCATTTATGCCATCAGAGAGGGAAATCAAGGTTGCGGTAGGCAGAGGCTTTATTCTTTGCTCTGAGTCAAGCTTGAACTTTTACACTTGCCCCAGTCAGACTAGAGCCATAGAGCATCTAATCCTCAGTAAACTAACTAATAAATCTGTGTGTACCTACATGAGATTAGACAATTCAACTAACATTGATACTATATATAAATACATCATCTTGAGCTTTTAGAGGTCTGGTAGCAGTTAAGTGGTTCAGTAAATAGTGCATTAGACCTTGAGGCAGGAAGACCTGAGTTTAAGTCCAGCCTCAGACATTTACTGGCTATGTGACCCTGGGCAAATCACTCAAACTCTGCCTGCCTCAGTTTCCTCATCAGTAAAATAGAGGATAATAGCATCTACTTCAGAGGGCTGTTGGGAGAATGAGATAAGATATATTCACAAAGTGATTTGCAAACCTTAAAGGTTTATATAAATGACATCATATAAATGATTCTTATTAAAATGACATTGTTGAGAAATAAGGGCACTTCTGGAATTTCAGTGCCATGTTGAGACACTAACATGGTTACTCTTGTGTACTTAATCATTAATGTATGCATTCAGCATACTTAATTTTTTAAAGTAGCAATGTATACATCAACATATAAAATATATTTATACATATTATTATGTCTCACATATCCATATTTCAACTTCTAAAACACATAGGCACCTTGAAACTAGGGAAACAAGGTGAACAAAAAAGGAGAAAATAGCTTATAAAGGATAAAACCAGATCTAACATCCTCAATGGTGAAATCTTTCTGGAGGGACAGGCACTTCGTAGTAGAAGAAATGGAGCCGAATAGTCTATCATGAAAATTTTTTTTTACATAAGTTAATTTGACCCTAATATCCCCCCCAAAAATTCCCTTTCTGCTCTGAGTGGACCATGCCACGTGGGGCTTTCACACACCAAAGCAGTGTTCGACTTCAAGGGTACTTATTGCATTTAGAATCCTTCTGTGATCTTCCAGGTTAATAACTATATTAGTGTGCATTTATTTTTCAGCTCAAGCCTCCTCTGGGTACTAACTGAGAAAGGTCCAGTGCTCAAGTGAGGGGAAGAAGAGCACCCTTTTGCCATACTTCAGATTTCTTTATGAATAGTTCCTTGGAAAAGTGAATGTGTTAGGTATAGGCCAGGAGGGAGCAACTTAAGAAAGATTCTTCATGGGCAGAGAAGGAAGTATGAATAGGCCCATTGTGTCTACGGATGGTCCTAGCCTTTGGTTCACCTCCTACCAGTTTTCTATGTGTATTCTGGGGCTAAAAGTCAATGAAGATAATAATAATAATAATAATGATAATAGCTATAATATATTTATATTATTAATAATATAGGGCTCTCAGATTTACAAAGCACTGTATATATGTTTTCATTGGATCGTAACAACAGCCCTATAAGATAAGATAGGAGATATTGTCTTTTTGGCAAGGCAATTGGGGTTAAGTGACTTGCCCAGGGTCACTCAGCTAGTAAGTGTCAGAATTTGAACTCAGGTCCTCCTGCCTCCAGGGCCAGTGCTCTATCTACTGCACCATCTAGCTGCCCTGAGGTATTTTCAGATAAGGAAACAGGCTGAGAGAGATTAAGTGACTTGACCAAGTTGAAACAACTGGTAAATGTTTGAGGAAAGATTTGAACTCAGGGTGTCTGGTCTCCAACTCCAGCACTCTCTCCACTGTGCCAGCTGCCTTTTGGTATAGAGATTCTTTCTCTAAATGTAGGTCATGTCAGGGTAGGAGAGGAAGAAAATGATAAAAATCCTAGTTATTGTTATTTTAATTTGTAAAGTTTGAATTCATCTTTTGCTTTTACATCACCCAGGTGGTACAACTAGGTGGTTTAGTGGACACAGTGCTGTACCTGGAATCGGGAAAACCTATATTCAAATCTTGCTTTAGACTCTAACTTAGCTGTGTGACCCTGTCAAATCCCTTAAATTCTCAGTCTTAGTTTTCTCATCTAAAACATGGGGTTAATAATAGCACCCACCTTAGAGGCTTGTTCTGAGAATCAAAGGAAGAAAAGTGTAAAATGCTTTGCTAACTTAAAAAAAACCATATAAATGCTATTATTATTATAATTAATTTTCAAATGTATTCCTCCTTTCTTCCCTATCTAGACAGCATCTAGGGAGCTAGATGGCGCAGTGGATAGCACACTGGCCCCAGAGTCAGAAGGACCTGAGTTCAAATCTGATTTCAGATGCTAGTTGTGTGACCCAAGTCAAGTCAATTTTTCCTCCCCTCCAAAAAACACAATAAGAAAGGAGAAATGAGGTCCCTGAGAGCCATTCTTTGCTACCAAGAATAAAAGCAAAGGTGCAAGAAAAAGGTAGCTCTGCAAAACCAGCCAATATGTTAACTGTCTATCATTATACCCCCATGGTCCTCCACCTTTTCACAGAAGGAAAGGCGATTGATACATTTTCATATATATTTTTTTCAGGGTTAAGCTTTATCAGACTTATACAATATTTATTTTAATTTTGTTCTTGTTTTCTGTTTCACTGTTTTAGTTATTGCATGTATCAATCACTTAGCACTGTGCCTAGGGTTCTACACTGTGCCTGGTACATTTTGTTTAGTTTTTTCAGTCATGTCTAACTCTCTGAGACTCCATTTGGGGTTTTCTTGGCAAACATACTGGAACTGTTTGCCATTTCCTTCTCCAGTTCATTCTACAGATGAGAAAACTGAGGCAAACAGGGTTAAGTGACTTGCACATAGCTAGTAAGTGTCTGAGGTCATATTTGAATTGAGAAAAATAATCTTCCTAATTCCAGGCTTGGCATTATATCCACTGTGCCATCTAACTGCCTGTCTGGCACATAGTAGGTACTTAATGTTTATTGATTGATTTTCCTGGTTGTGATTACTTTACTTTGCATCAGTTCATATATCTTTCTATGCTTCTCTGAACTCTTCATATTAATCATTTCTCACAGTACAATTCCATTACAGTTATGTGTCATAGTTTGTTTATCCATTCTCTTGTTGACAGGCATCTACTTTGTTTACAATTCTTTGCTACTACAAAAAATGCTACTATAAATATTTTCTTGCATACAGAGACTTTCTTTTTATCTATGACCTCCTTGGAGGTTTCTGCCCATCAATGGGATTTGTAGGTCATAGAATTATGAGGTCCCAGGACCTTAGATTTAGCATTGGAAGGCACTTTTGATATCATATAGTCTAGCAACCTCATTTTGCAGATGAGAAACTGAGCTCCAAAGAAGTTAATTAATTTGCCCAGGGTCAACAAGTAGTAAGTGACAGATGGGATTTGAAAGGAGATATATATCTTAATCACTTTCCTAGCATGATTCAAAATCACTTTCTGCCATAGCTGGACTAATTCACAGTTTCACCAATAGTATACTGATGTTTCTGTCTTAAAAATCTACTTCCAGCTCTAGAATTGTATAGTTCTTTTTTTTTTTTTTTTTGATAAGGCAATCCGGGTTAAGTGACTTGCCCAGGTTCACACAGCTGGTAAGTTTCAAGTGTCTGAGGTCAGATTTGAACTCAGGTCCTCCTAACTCCAAGGCTAGAGTTTATCTACTGCGAGACCCTTGGAATTCTATGATTCTATGAAAATATTAGCAATATAAGAGAAAATACGTTTATATTCACATATTACTTTCTTCTCCATTGCCGTGTGAAATAAGTAGTCATTTATTATCCCATTTAATAGACAAGGGCATGAGAGTTCAGAGAAGTTAAGTGACTTCCCTACGGTCACTAAGCTATTAAATGGAAAAGTCAAGCTAGGATTTGAAACTCTGCATAGTGCCTGGCACATAGCAAGTGCTTAATAAATATTTTTTTAATTGAATTGATTCCAGAGTTAGGATTTTTTCCATTTCCCCACCTTGCTTTTACAGTCTTTGTTACAAAAGAGCATTGAAAAATAAGAGACAGAATAATGGGTGAAAAAAAATATATATACATACATATCATAAATATCATAAGCCATAGAGATATTTTAAATATTAAATATTTTAAAAATACTCTACATCTTGTAGTATACCAAAATAAAAACAAAGTTCTTTAGCCAGAAAGTAGGGGAGAAAATCAAAGGAACAGTCATAGGTTTAAGTTAATTTTTTAAAAATATGCAGTGACTCAGTCTAAATGTTCAAAGTCACCAAAATATGCAAAGGTAATAGCAGATCTGATTTAATAATCTCATTGTAATTCCGATAAGAACAGAAAGTGAAAGTTTAGTGAAATTAAGCCATAGATGAAGAACCAAAGCAAAAATGGTGAATGTTGCTTGAAAAAGAATATTTTTCTTGTTAGATTACACTCATATGCTGGTGTTGCCCATTAGACTTCTTGTTTTCAAAACTCTCTAGAAGTTTTTCTGTTCTAACAACACTTGAGAAGTTGGAAGCCACTGTAACTTAATTTGGAGGCATCTGTTTCCTTTTATTCCACCAAGAATTCAGTCTCACCGGTGTGGTTTCATTTGGAAATGCTCAGTTTCCCTTCTCTTCTGAAGTCAGGAGCCCTATATTTAAATACTGGCTCTAATATTTGCCACCAGTGTGACCTTGGACAACTCATTTCCCTTCCCTGGGTTGTAGCTTTCTTGTACACAAAATTAGAGAGTTGGACAAGATGATTTATAAGGTTTTATTCTTTTTTAACAGAAGGCAATAAAACCACCAACAGCGGATAAGCTGTTTTTCTATACTTCATTAATGGTTCAGGGAATTAAGTCATAGATTGGACCATAGATTCAGATTTGTAAGGGACCTCAGAGATCTAGGCCAACTTCCTCATTTTTTTATAT